ATTTCCTGAGACCTTGAAACATGTGATATGTATAGTTTCTTTCGGTCTATCACTTATCCTTACTTGATTTTTGAAGCTCACGTTATTGGTTAACATTTCCTTTAGAACTTATTCGATTACTGATTAATACCTACAAAAATATCTACGTTAATCCTACAATAAACTGTTTAGACTTAAGTCATGTTCCACTCAGTTTCGTTAGCCCATTTTACTCAAACAGTAGGATAATAGTGACAGATACAAAACAAAATAAACAATGGATTATTTAAGTGCCATGAGTTAGTTTATCAGAACTATTGATGACAAAAGTAACTCAATAAACATTTTCTCTTAAATGATTATTTTGATCTTAAATTGAACAGACATTCTGAAGTTAATAGATCATTTGAGATTAAAAATTATGGTTGTTCCATATATATGAAGAACTTTGGACGAATCAATGTTGATAAGTCATTTCCTTTTACTAACTATCAATGATCTCTCAAGATAATCCTTAGTAAAGGTTGCTAGATAGTTAAATACACTCTTTTTTTACATCGAAATTCCTTCCAACTTTGTTGTACATTGTGATTACCGAATTAAGCCAGTCAAAATAAAGTTTGGTACTGCCTGTTTTATAATAACAGACAAGAGAATTTCAATTTATGTTAATAAATAATGGGCTAAATTATTTGAGGTTTAATTTACATTAACAGGCATATTAATTAATTTTTGTCCAAAGAGCAAGAAGTCATGAATATCAATAAAAAAATTAAGAATCTGTGAGTTTCCTGACAAAATGACCAATCAATACAAATGTATGAACTGTCATCTATAATCTGTCCTCATTGTTGTTAGCTTACGGTTGCTAACTATTGGCTCATATACTTGGTCGTTACTTAGTTTTATTATGCCATTTTCCGTCGGTTTCAATCTGTTCATCAAAAGTCTTAGAAATTATCATAAGTTATTCGTCTTTTTTGGTTTGAGGATAACCAGCCTTTGTTCCAATGTTCAATAAAAGTATGATCATATGATCATAGTTTACAGTATTTACATGATCAAGTATTCTTTGATTAAAGCAATTAAAGTTTAGGTTTCTAACCAATGTTTTATTAAACAAATATGAATGGATCTTTCAATCTCATTAAATGAACTGATTCATAAGATCAACAAATATACATTCTCTTTTTTACTTAAGTTTGAAGCCAATTAACTGTATTGGCTATAGAAATAGCTAGTTTATGAATCATATATAGAAAGGTTAATCAGCATAATGGATTGATATTTAATGTACATCAATTCCGATAAACAATTTCCATTGATGATACCAATTTTTTTAACTTATCAAGTGAGATTGAAGTACTTAAATTAGACTGTTAAGTTTTTGAAATAATTGGATATTTATTACGCGACAAGTTGTGCATACAATCCCACTGGTAGGCAGTGCTTGATATATCGTTATATTTCTAGTTGATATTTCATCTCCCGTTGTTAATGTTATAACAGTTTGAAAGATAATTTAACTTTATAGAATATTTTTATTAGGTTATGAATTTAACTGGAAAATCATTGAAAACGTTTCCCTCCACTTTTAAATTTTCTTCTCAAAACTAAACTAATCTCCATGACCAACTGATAAAGTAAATGATAATTTAATCAGAAAACCAATCAAAAAATCCATTATATCTTAAATGAATATGGTGATTTTGGTTGGAGGCATTGTATCAGTCCCTTCCAGTGGTCTAACAGAACCAATTCTGAAAAAAGCACTAAGTTACATAGGGTTAATCCCAAAGATAAGGTTTTCTTTCATATATCGTTACCATTTTAATGAACGTATAATATTCCGTAATTCAGCAAAGTAGAATTAAAATTTCAAAGGTTAATACAATTGTACTTCTCCAGTTATTGCTTGCCGAATTTATTGATTAACGAAACAAATTTTTATGTATTTTCGTAATTATGACTTCTGTACTGGATTCGTGGATTGACTAGGAAAACAAAGATCAAAAGTCAAATGATCTCGAAGATCAGTACATTTAACTTATTCTTTATAATACGTCTCCAAATGACGTAGAATAATAACTGGCAACATCAAGTGCGTCCTGCTGCCTATGTATGTGTGTTCACACGAAATCCACCAGGAGTTAAATACATTTTCGGAAGAATTTCACTGAGCATGTTTTAGAAGACTTGAATAAAATATTGCGATGCTCTGAAATAATAATAACTAATTTTAATAAAATTAGAAGAACATAAATATAATTTTTTGATGAAATACAAAAACTGAATAAAATAAGTACATTTTAATGGTCTTTATCAAATATACTCTATTAGTCCCTTGATAAATAGCGTTATATTCTGTAATATCACTAGCTAATTATAGATTTATACATTTGGCTATGACCCATGTTTAATGCACATAAGCTAAACAAAATACTACCTGATTAAATCTCAATACACTTGTAGTGAACGAGAACACAAGTGTGGACAACCGAATGTATTTTAGCGCAAAATTACATAACATCTCGATAAAATTTGCGAACCGTACAGTGAACACTTCATTTGCAAAATATCCATTAACTGTCTTAGATTTTGTTGTTTCTTCGTTTTCATACCAATCGCTCACTATCGTAGTTCTCTTTTCTTCCATCTTCTTAACCTTCTGCCACCAGGCATTCCACTTTCGACTGATGATACATAGTACTTATATCCGTCGACATCGGTAGCACACACCACAGACTGAATAGAAACTTACAATTTAATTGTTTCAATTCACAAAGCAAAATCATAAAAATTGCAGGATCAAAACTGTCTTTACCAGTTGTGTTGATGAAAATACTAGCTCAAATGTCAAAATAAAGTTCAATGTTATACAGAACAACATTTTTTTGGTAGTTGAATTAATTGATCGATTTAAGGTAGACCACCGTTGAAAACTTGGAAGCATTGGACAGCCGTTTCGTTCTAGTATGGAATTCATCAGTGTGCATAATCGATCCTGAACACGGGACTTGAAGACAGGACCTTCGGTCTTGCATGCGAACGCTTAACCTCTAGACCACTGAGCTGGCATCCAATAGCGTTAATGTCTAACTCCATTGAGATTGACGAAATGTTATTTAAACTGCTCTTATAGTTTTCTCTCATGTATTAGTTAATAATTTTTGTTTGTTCATTAATAATTTGATATTTATATAAAAAAAGCTATTGAATCTTCGATGGAATTTATCTGACTAATCCCAAGTTATTGGGAATTTTATTTTTCCAGTTCACTGAAACAGTGAAAATATCTGTACTTAGTCACAAGTTAGCTGAAGTTGGATATTATAGGACATGGAGTTTTTGAAACAATTTATCACTTGGATTCTAGCTGAAATCCCGTTGTAAAGTTGCGCGAAATATATGAAGATAGCTAATGGTAAACAAAGTCAATAATTAGAACAGTTTAAACCTTTACTTGTGTAATAGTTGCAAAACGTTTTCTTCTGCTTGAAGTAGGTAATAATGATATTGTCCATATTGATAACGAATGCTTCACAATGAAACACACAAGTGAATGATTTCAACACAACCGAAAAATTACATTTGTTAGGAAGATCATTTGAAGGAAACTATCGAAAACTGTTACATTACTTCTGTTGGTATTAATCGTCAACGAAATAAAAATGAAATATTTAAGATTAGTTCAAAAGTCCTGTGCAAGGCAACTTTATTCGGATTAAATTGACATTATATATTCATCTTAGCTGAGTCACTATCAAGTGTTCTATTAACTCGTTTAATTCTCGTCAATTTTTTTCACTTTCCGATTGATAGATTCAGAGTTTTGTATTTCTTAAAATGTCATCAAACAACAAGAAACAAGTGGAAAATATTATTATCCTTTTGGAAACCCTAGTGACGTATGATTTGCTTCAAATAGTGCTTTTAAAACTGAGTTATGTATGAACTTCATGTAAGAATTCAATGATTAGCAATACTAACTGAATTTTTCGATTGAATTGTAGTAATTATAATTTAAATAAGGCAACAAAAACAATGTTTACTGAAGAACGTGGATTCATTCTAATCCACATCTTCGCTTCAGCTAAATGCAACCTAAAATAACAATTAATAATATAATTATCAATTAATGTTTAACAAACTTTAATTTGTGAAGTTTAGATAAATGCTTGAAACATAACCGGAATCATAATAATAAAAAGAGGAATAGAACATTAAGTGTATGTTTTTTTTATTTATTACGAAGTAATGATGTAGATCGTATGCAGCTGATGAGAAGCCGTAAAATAAAATGAGTTCAATTTATTCTGCGAGCCTGATTGTTCTATTTTTAAGTTACCAATGACTCTTAGTTGTATGAAAACTAGTAACTATATGTAGAAAATAAATTGTAATACTTTTGAATAAAAGGACTGCAGCTGTAAATGGAATCCAGGATGCGATTTTACTCCCATTTGGAACTCGTCAGCTAAATGGAGCTGTACCCCAGTGTTAGCGCTTCTATTCAGTCTCCAACTCAGAGGCTTTTACTTTAAACTCTAACTTGTTGTCCACTGACTTTCTGAGTCTAGATAGCTACTAATTTGTTCAACGAGCAATTTATTTATATCATTATAAGTAAAGGTTAGAGTTATCCCATTGTTATTATTCTAGACTGGATTTTCATCAACCTTTGTTGAAATGTATGCATCTTGTATGGATTGTCACAATTTATGTAACAATAGATCGACAACAGCTAGCAGTGAAATCCAAGATTCGATTTTCATCAACTGTAGAGACAATCCGCATTGGATGCACATTCACTAGCAAATAATTTTCAAAATTCTTTCCTGAACATCAACAGTAGGATAACTCAAACACTTACTAATAATGATAAAATTGTAGAAAACTCAAATCATAACAAATTTCATTAAATAAGAGATAGAAAACGTTCAAACAAATAATAGATTACATAGCCAAATTGATATAGAATACTATTAGGCGTTTCAATATATCAAATTAAGCCGGTAGACCTACGTTATTTGAATAGTAGTAGTAGTAGTAGTAGTAGTAGTAGTAGTAGTAGTAGTAGTAGTAGTAGTAGTAGTAGTAGTAGTAGTAGTAGTAGTAGTAGTAGTAGTAGTAGTAGTAGTAGTAGTAGTAGTAGTAGTAGTAGTAGTAGTAGTAGTAGTAGTAGTAGTAGTAGTAGTAGTAGTAGTAGTAGTAGTAGTAGTAGTAGTAGTAGTAGTAGTAGTAGTAGTAGTAGTAGTAGTAGTAGTAGTAGTAGTAGTAGTAGTAGTAGTAGTAGTAGTAGTAGTAGTAGTAGTAGTAGTAGTAGTAGTAGTAGTAGTAGTAGTAGTAGTAGTAGTAGTAGTAGTAGTAGTAGTAGTAGTAGTAGTAGTAGTAGTAGTAGTAGTAGTAGTAGTAGTAGTAGTAGTAGTAGTAGTAGTAGTAGTAGTAGTAGTAGTAGTAGTAGTAGTAGTAGTAGTAGTAGTAGTAGTAGTAGTAGTAGTAGTAGTAGTAGTAGTAGTAGTAGTAGTAGTAGTAGTAGTAGTAGTAGTAGTAGTAGTAGTAGTAGTAGTAGTAGTAGTAGTAGTAGTAGTAGTAGTAGTAGTAGTAGTAGTAGTAGTAGTAGTAGTAGTAGTAGTAGTAGTAGTAGTAGTAGTAGTAGTAGTAGTAGTAGTAGTAGTAGTAGTAGTAGTAGTAGTAGTAGTAGTAGTAGTAGTAGTAGTAGTAGTAGTAGTAGTAGTAGTAGTAGTAGTAGTAGTAGTAGTAGTAGTAGTAGTAGTAGTAGTAGTAGTAGTAGTAGTAGTAGTAGTAGTAGTAGTAGTAGTAGTAGTAGTAGTAGTAGTAGTAGTAGTAGTAGTAGTAGTAGTAGTAGTAGTAGTAGTAGTAGTAGTAGTAGTAGTAGTAGTAGTAGTAGTAGTAGTAGTAGTAGTAGTAGTAGTAGTAGTAGTAGTAGTAGTAGTAGTAGTAGTAGTAGTAGTAGTAGTAGTAGTAGTAGTAGTAGTAGTAGTAGTAGTAGTAGTAGTAGTAGTAGTAGTAGTAGTAGTAGTAGTAGTAGTAGTAGTAGTAGTAGTAGTAGTAGTAGTAGTAGTAGTAGTAGTAGTAGTAGTAGTAGTAGTAGTAGTAGTAGTAGTAGTAGTAGTAGTAGTAGTAGTAGTAGTAGTAGTAGTAGTAGTAGTAGTAGTAGTAGTAGTAGTAGTAGTAGTAGTAGTAGTAGTAGTAGTAGTAGTAGTAGTAGTAGTAGTAGTAGTAGTAGTAGTAGTAGTAGTAGTAGTAGTAGTAGTAGTAGTAGTAGTAGTAGTAGTAGTAGTAGTAGTAGTAGTAGTAGTAGTAGTAGTAGTAGTAGTAGCTAAGGGAATTTGTTAAACGAGTTTCATTCTTTTTTTCGATTCTCTATTTATATATCTTAGTATACAAATAACTCTTGAAATTCAAAGTGAATTCTGAACAAATAAGAACCACTCAAACGAAAATAAGAACCAATTGCTTAAAACTACCTTTTTAGTTATTTGTTTGATAATAATAGAACAAAATTGGTTTGATGAAAGATTAAATTACTGAAATAACACTGAAATATAAATAGTAAAGTAAAATCTAATTTCATTATTCTTAACTATCATCACAATGAACTATTACAAATGAATGAACAAATATAAAAGATTTTTAATTCAGTTAAATTCAAAATAAAGATTATTTATAAATCAGAGGTCAATCGATTAATTGGAAATTTTAGTAGTTTAATTTCAATTATTATTGATTTTTCTTTATCTGTAGGTTGACAAGACAACTCTTACCATTCGAACTAAATAACAAGTATGGGTGTATTTACATGTTTAAATGATTTTAGATAGAAACAAAACAGCCAAGTTTACAGACACCTCAAAAGAACAATGGACAATATAAAGTGCATATTTTATATAGATCTCCTTTGAATTAAAAATTAACTAGTTTTTTATAATGACAGAAATTCAAAATGAGTCAAAAAGTTGTTTCACTGTTCTTAAATCTTATTCAAAATGTAAAATACTCAACCGTTAACTGTATTGAGCTTAGACTGTGAAATATCTTGTTGAATGTGTCAGTACTAAGTTATTGATTCAAAATTCAACTATTCTTTCGTGATTACAGCTACTTGTGGTTGATGAGTATTATCTATAATGATACCGGGATATGATAATTAGGAGTATTTGAATTATAGTATGAACTAAGAATCCCAGAAATAACGTAATCAGATCAAGAAGTACTAGATAACCACAAACGAATGTATTGTATTTAGAATTCGAAACCAAGCACTCAACAAGTACAATGGTATCATTAGTTCCTTCAAACAACTCATGGTATCATAAAGCATCTTTCGGATTACTTTAACCACTTAATAATTTTTGAACTTTTCCCATTTCAAATTTTTTTTGAATAACCAAACGTCATTTGATTTCATTCTTAATCAAGTTCTTATTGCACAAGAGAATTGTTTATAGGTCCTCGACTATATTTAAAAGAATCATTTGAACTGAGACTGGAGAAGTATGACATGGTTGCAAACATTTCATGATACTTTAAATGAAACAGGATAATCAATGATATACTTTTAAACCATTTAGATTAACATGTAAACCAAATAATTTCAGTTGACTGGAGAATGCATTGATCAATAGATAAGCAGACTGGAAACACATGTACGAAAGAGCGCATAGACATGTAGATAGTTTTTGTTTATGAGGAATTAGTTTCTTTCATTTAGCTAGATTTTGATGAAACATTCTTCGCGCCAATATGTATTATTTTTATCACCATAACTTAATATTACGTGAAGTAGTACTGACAATCATAAGTGTTTGTCAGGGTTGCCCACTTTCTCCATTCTTATTTAACTTCGGCGTAGCCGTTCTTTTATTGATAGCGTTTTCGTCATCTGACTTATAAATAATAGATCTACCAGGAGATTTTTCCTACTAGGGTACAATCTACAATAGACATAGTCCTGCTTGGTGAAAACGTTGACAAAATCTTGAGTCTTATATACGCTTTAACCGACAATGTAACCATATTGGGCATGGGTTTCTGTCCCTCTAAATGCCAAATGTTGCTTCAGGACTGGTATGCATCAAAGCCTAAAATAATGACAGGGAAAGAAGTAGTTGACTGTGTCAACCACTGTACTTATCTTGGGAATCTCACCATTCCTAATGGATTAGTGTATGACGAAATCTCAACACGAACTTAGAAGCTCATTTGGCTTTCGTTAGCCGGGGTCAAATATAGCTTAGGAGAAATTTCTGTCTGATAAATAAAGGTCGAGTATACAGTGTAGTTGCTCGCTCTGTTCTACTCCATGGATGTGAAACTAGACATTTAAAACGAAGGTTAAACGCAGATTACTAGTAGATGATCACAGATACCTTCGAAGATTTCATGGTGTATGTTGGACCATCGAGTAAGGAATGCTGAGGTAAGGTATAGGGATCTAGGCAAGTATAGTAAATGAGTAACAAATCAGACTACTTGACTGGTGTTTGGGAAATTATTGTAACTGACGATCGGAGACGTTTCGTAACACGGATCAGAATCGTTTTCAATAGCTCAAATGCACCAACGTTCTGTATTCCTTTACATTTCGAGTTTTACAATTAACTCATAACTTTTATCCTGTGAATTTATTCTTCCATCTCGAACCATATTGTATGTGTTTAATGTTTCTACTATCACTAATACTGATACTACTCCTACGACTCTGAAATTCATCTTATTGTTCTGATATAGCGTGGTAACTTGAACCAATGCATATATGTTCCAGGTTCTACGTTGTCTGTGACTGACTGACTTCTGACAAATAAAGAACACTAAATTACTTATTTGTCTGTATTTTAAACTCTTTACGATCTGGATGCTTATTTCGACATTTTTATTTTATTTTATTTGTAAACTGACATGAAATTAGAGACCAGCTTTTTCTTTTCTCTAAAGATTCGTGAACTGGTGTTAGATTGCAATAAAAACATTTCAATCTATTAACCTTGTCATATTATGTAAATACTTCCTTTTTTGTATTGTCTAAGAATCGTTAAATTAAACGGATAAAACAATTTTAACAGTAGTAAGTTTAACGGACGACAACGCCTACAAACATTAGTGACAAAAAAACATAGTGTAAGGTAATAAAGACAAACAACACAAGTGAGAGGTAGAAAAATAAACTATGAAATTTCTGAATCATATATCGATTGTTTCCTTATAATGCATCTTTCTACCCACACATACATCAGTGTTTTTCTAGACTTCTAAATACCATCATTATCGTCATCATTAGTATCCTGAGCATCAAGGTCACAAAGTACTTCTTAATTGACATGATTTAGTGACACACGCACACACCCAAAAGTTAACGTTAGTACGAGTGCGCGCGTACACCTGATAACCTCAATAATGGCAACGATATGTATATCGATCAGTTTATTTGTTTATTTTCTTTGACCGATTATTTTCGACCTTAGACAATAAAGCTGATGATGATGACGATTACAGCAGTGTTTATTTTCATACAGAAAAAATAAACGGCACCATTTCTGGAAATAGATATTCTATTAAAGTATTAAATGATTATTTATTTACGCATAGGAATAATGAAATAGTCAATTCACAATCATAGGATCTTCTAAAGGAGCAGGGAAGAGAAAGAGAGAAAGAAATATTTATAAAATAGTTCGATGAAGCAGTTTTTATTCGGTTGTCTGTTCTGAAACTGTCCAGTAGTAAATAAATTTTAAGCCATCAGATTAGAAACAAAATAGTAGAGATTCCGTAAAGTGTGGTACACTATCTTGGTTGATTTAATTACCTTCAATAAATGGCAGTATTGTTATTTTTTCTGTCATCATTTTGTCACCATCGTTGATGTTCGGTTGAATAGTCCTGTATTACAGTCATGAACCATAAATGATTTATTATTTTGCTTTGATTTTATACCATACTTCAAAAAATTCTGGAACATTAAAGATTAGTTATTTAAATTTAACAGATTACAATCCAGTGAATATATTTAGTTATCGTGTATCACTAAATGACTTCCTTTTACCTTTTGATGTAACTACATCTAGACAAATAGTAACTCAACTTGAAACATATATCAATGGTAAAGTGTTCTTAGAAGATTACCATTGACTTTGGAGTTATTGACTGATCTTGAAAAGATTATAAGCCTAGTAGAAGTATGCACTACTCATATATTTTGTAATGGTGACGATAGCTAAGATGGATGCTTTCGATTGCGTGATGTTCTCTCCCTCTCTCTCTCTCGGATACTTCAATCAGAAATAACCGCTAATGACATTGTCCAGAACAACTAAAAAAGCTTCGTAATCGAACCGACAGTCTTACAATAAACAGCAAAATTAAAATTTAGGTACATAACAAATTAGGTACTAGGAAAATATAAATAAAATTGCTATTAAATTCTACCGAAAGTTATTCCCACATCTCTGGATAATTGAAAAAAAATTCAGGATGTATATTTTTTTAATTTTTTGTGAGTTTTAGCATCATGTGAAGGTATCTTCTATATGTAGTTGTAAGGTTAAGTTTTCGTTGAAATTACTAAAATTCGCCAAGATACAAGTACATGTATATAACATATTTCATATAACACAAATTATTAAACATATATAATGATCTCGTTCATATTTATAATAGTTTAACTGGTCGATAGAAAAATAAAGTATACAAATCAATAAAAGTATACTCATTCCATTTCATTTCACTCAAATTAATGCAAAAACAATCATTGAATTCAAAGTATCAATCAATCAATAATAATTAGTTCATTATCTAATGATTCAATCAATTATTCATTCATTTATAATTATTATCATAATCAGAACAATAAAATGACCTTTATTCAAGTTATTAATTATTTACATTTTAATATTCATTTAACAAGTTGAATAAAATAAATAACAGTTAATATATTAAATTGTACATCTAACTAGAAAAAAAGTGGTATACATTACAATTAAACAATTGAATTATGTATTTAATATAAAGGACATAATATTATTTTTTTGTTGCATTGTTTATTTTACTTTATTATTATTATTATTATTATTATTATTATTATTATTATTATTATTATTATTAGTAGTAGTAGTAGTAGTAGTAGTAGTAGTAGTAGTAGTAGTATGATTATAATATTTTAGTGGTTTAATACTATTTTTTAATCAATAAAAATACAATTGAATGATACGTGATAAAATTAGTAAATTGAACTAATAAATTATGTAACAAGTTACTGTATTGTATTAGTTCAATGGCTTTGATTGTATATGAAATACAAAGGGAATAATAATCATCATAATAAATACGATATTTTATGTGATTCTATCGATGTATAAAATAGTTCAGCTTATGTGTATTTTATAGATAAGGTTAAAGTTTCAAATATAGTATGTGTTTTCTAATTGAAGTACAACTAAATAGAATTTAGAGATTTAAGAGAAATTACTTAACATAAATTACCTTATATATGACTATTAGATTAATATAACATAATGTTATATTTGATAAACAAGAAATCAGAGTAGTTAGATTTCATCAAGTGGATTAATCTTGATCAAATAAGAGTATAAAGTACATTAATACCATTGGATGCCGGCTCAGTGATCTAGTTGGTTAAGCGCCTGGCGCGTGACTGATAAGTCCTGGGTTCGAACCTCGCGGGGTGTGGGATCGTGGATGCGCACTACTGAGGAGTCCCATACTAAGAAGAAACGGCCTTCCAGTGCTTCCAAGTTTTCTATGGTGGTCTAGCTTCAATTGACTCATGATTTCAATCAAAAACTAAACAATCCCCACAACCCTTAAACTGATAATTACCATGTGCTCAGTAGTGACTAGCTTCGTGAGAAAATTCTCGGAGTTCTGGTGGGAAGCCGTGACTAGTGGAGCTAATCCGTGTCGGGTAGAAACAGGTGTCGACCTCAGTATAAAGTATAGTTGAACATGTTGTTGTAAACATGAGTATATGTTGTTTGCATAGGATTTATCATTATGTAATTTGTTCATCGTGACTCATAAAAAAACATAAGCATTGTTTAGTAATTTTCACTGATAAAATTTTAATGAAAACATATAACGTAAGGTCTGCTTGTTGAATAATTCTATTTATTAGGTGGTTGAAAGCAATTATCAGGAAGTCAATAACTTAAATTCTATGCTAACTTAATAATAGTATTATTCTGTATTAGGCATTTGATTACGGTAAAGAATTCGCATCACAAATATGTCACATTAAAACAAATTCATTTAATTTGTAAGTGGTGAAAATGTATATAAAAAGGCGTTCTTCAACAGTGATTAATTGCCTCACACATTCATTCTCAAACGCTTTTTGAACTGTTTCGTTCCAGTAACATTCGTTTTTCGTCCCATTGTGTATATGTAATGCATGAATTGCATAATGTTATCATTATTCGTTTCTCAAAAGAGTACAATAGAGGGAACAACTATCAATCACCATGACAGCTATGCTATAAATTACCAGTAATTATTTTCACAATATGTTGTTAACTTTTTACATAAATGCTTGAGTCAATAGACCTGTTAAAACACAAATATTCAGCTTAGGTAGATCAAAAGGATAAAAATATATTCGTGGGTTGTTTATAAAGCAGGAAAATAGATGGCCAAAATGTTGGAACTGTCATGCAACTACAAAAGGTATTTGTTATCTTGGAAGAACTTATCTGACGGCCCCATGAGATATGAATCTGGCTCATCCAAAGTCATTCAAAGAAATGTTATCATTTAGTTGTTCTAACAGCGGATGAGCTATTAAAAGTGATATATATATATATATATATATATATATATATATATATATATATATATATATATATATATATATAATTGTTGAATTCTTGAGTCAATTGAAGCTAGACCACCACGGAAAACCTGGAAGCACTGGACTGCCGTTTCGTCCTGATATGGGACTCCTCAGCAGTGCCAGTCCACGATCCCACCTCATGAGATCCAAACCTCGGGCCATTAAACCAATAAACCGGCATCCAACGGTGTTAGTGTTGTGGATGCGTACTGCTGAGGAGTCCCATACTATATATATATATATATATATATATATATATATAAAATAGAAATTAAGGAATGGCAAAATATAAGTATTTCTCCACTCACCCACGTAAAATAAGAAAACTCAACTATTTCAATAACGAGATAGTAAATATTACTATGAAGAGAGGAAACATTATTCAGTTGAATATTTTTGGTAGATGTATATATCACTGTAAATTTTGATTTTCTGAAAGATAATTTTTTTCTTCAAATGATGAGTGTATACAAAATTTTTTTCTTAGAAGCAGTACAAGTTTAAGTAAATTTATTTTATTTAAAACTGTATTATTAACTTAACATGATGTGGTTTTTGAGGAGAAAACTGTTTTTCCGCTTTGTAAAGAAGTTAACAGGATTCAGTGCACATTTTGTCAGTTATTCACTGTCATAAAATATATCTGGATAAAAAAATAATCATCAAATGTCACCTTGAAAGTAATTTTTTTACTGCCAGAATGGAATATCTTAGAAAGATAATCTGAACTTAATATTTATTGTGGAATATTGCTAGTTGAATTATCTATAAAAAAAAAACAACTGAAGAGCTTTGAGCAACTGTTTTATCCTTATTTTAGAAGTCATCCTAAGTGTGTATCTTTTATTCTAGATTTTCTAACTCACTGAATCAAATAATCGTTTATGTTAGTTATACAAACACTTACGAAGGACCTAATACTGACTTAAATCCCAGATGTCGAATTTGTAATCATTGGTAAATTACGGAAAACGAAACACAAAACCATATATATATTTAATAAAGTGTTTGTATTTTATTGAAACAAGTTCATTATTATTAAGCGTTTTGACTTTTCGCCTAAGAGCAGTTGAGTAGCTGTTTATTAATTCATCAGTAAGAACAGCTAAATTTTTTCTTTATGTTATGATAAATGGTAACCACTTTTTTAATTTTGTTCATAATAATTTATATTCGCTGTCGAATTTATCGACATTATGCAGGATGGCTTTTAATAGAAGCTCTAAAAAGTATTATCATTTAAAAAAAGTTAGTTGATCAACCGTACCATTTTCATTACGGAAACTTACGGTTTTAAATGTAACAGTCAGAATAGTTGACACCTAAAACTGTCAGTGAGTTTGATATTCCCAGATTCATTATATCGAGCTGCAAGCTAGATAAGGTTGTTGATGAGTTAAGTAGAGCGATTTGGGTTATCCACCTTGTAAAGATCACTACCCTTGTCTTTATATTGTGATCAGTCAGTCTACGTATAAACATTCTTGACTATAATTAATTAGTTCTGTTTATTGGCAACTTCATAAAATATTGTAGGACCTTTTTAAAGCAACGTTTGCAATGCTTGAACAACCTTTTGACACTATTGACTTTCTTTTTCTGTTCCGATACGTTATTTTTCATGTTGTCTTTTACTCATTTGGGTTGAATTCGTTGCACAAGTTGTTCATTGATTAGTCACAGAGATTGGGTTCATTTCTTTTCAACAACCTAAACTTTCTTTCATCTTCACTCATAGTAACCGTTTACTCAAAATGATCACACCTCGTAAAACTAATTCACCAACTAGTTTAAATAAACAAATTTTGATTAACTTACACTATATTTTGGATATTATGACCCTAATGCTAAGAATGACAATGACCTTTGAACTCTTATATCAATCTTTAGTTTTCGTACTGTTAATAGATAAGTATCGAGGTCATGAATTTCAGTTTTGATATATGAAAATGATTTGAACTCTCTTACTGAATAGAGTTGTTTACCTCCCATTTATCAATT